ATACAATTATACACAGTTATATATAAAATATGTCCACATATTTTCCTGGGTTATTACAAAAAAAAGAAATATTTTGATAGACGCGAATTTCTGCTGCTTGATGTGACCTGTGCGCCATATTGGGTAATTGTATATATAAATCTATATATAAGTCTACATGACAGCTTTCAAACAACACAAAATTTAAAATTGTGATATAGGACATTTTTAAGTCATCTCTTAGACGTGCGAAAACATTTTATGACTCGATTTTAGATACTTTTTGTTATCTGAGCTTATACAATAGTTTTCGTTGTCTACACGTAAACGTAGAATATTATAATTTATGTGTAAATGCATAATTCTGATATTCAATATTTTCTTTATTCTTGGTGAATTTTTTATTTGCTCACGCGTGCACATATTTTGTATGCGTAAGTACATGTATGATAAAGAAAATTTTTATTCATTAAAAAAAGACAAATTTCGTTTATCTGCCAATCAAATTTAGTCATTTAATTTTTTACGTGTTATTTACGTCGTAACGACGAGATAGCCATACATAAGATCATAGATTTAAGCAAAGAGCACATGTACCCTTGAGAAGCGCATAATGCATAAGAAATGAACCAAAGTTTCTTATTTTTTTTCTTTTCGTATAATAGAGGACTTTGATAAGTTTTTTTAGCACCTTTCGATTTATTTACGCCTTGTGCCTTATAAATTATATAAAAGTCTTCGCTTTAGCATATATTATTTATTCTATTGCTACTAGTACATCAGAGAAGAAACTTGTAAGAGCTGCCAAAATTTATTTCCGAACATTTTCCTTGCTATACGACGTTTCAGTTCCAAATTTAGAGGTCTTCAACGGTAACTTCTAAAACATTCTCTTATTAAAATTATATATAAAAAGATTAGTATCTAGATGAAAAAACAGTTGAATTCCAAATTAATTTTGAGCTTCTTACAGTACATTTCTTTCGATACAAATAAATACGTAAATATCTTTTTTCATAAGAACAGCTAAATTGTAATATTAAAATTTTTTTTCGAATTAGTTTCCATCTTTATATGCTACAAATACTTCGAACTATAAACACTTATATTTATATAATACACTTTTAGGCCGGTATTCATCGATTTCAACTTGTTTTGGTTTTTCATAGACCTCTGTCTGATTTGACGATTTTTTTTTCCATCAAATTATGCAACATTGAAATAATAAAGGATCGTTTTTGCTTCAATGTTGAATAATTTGGTGAAAAATAAATCGTACAAAATCTATAAAAAGCAAATTAAAGATAAAAATTCTCTCTTCCAAAAATTGTAAACCCAATTCGTGTGCAAATTTTAATTGATGATACGCATGACGTACAATGTACAACTTATTGTTATGTTTCCAAGAGACGGCAAATCGTACGTCATACGCTAAAACATATGTGTCACTTACGTCTACAACTTGAGTCTCTAAGACTCGATTGCAACAACGTTACTTTTAAGCAAGGATTAAAACTCTCTTTGTTTCTGTCTCTTTTTCGGTTTTAAAATGAAACAAAGACAGAGTTTTAAGTCCCATTTAAAGTCAAAGTAATTTGATGCTCCGGGTCTAAGTGTTATGACAATTTTTGTGCTCAGACCCTATCTTTACAAACTCTAGGTTGGGTAAAAAGAAAGTGGCGCCAATTGATGTCCTTATATCAGTTAGAGGAAGATAAGGTTAAAGAAATAAAAGGTGAAGACGAGGAATTGCGTCATAAGATACCCCAGATGTAGGACACCAAATGGCGACTTCCGGTTAATTGGCGTCACTCTCTTTATATCCACTCTAGTCATCTCGTTTTCTATTTCTTTCTATTCGCTCATACATTCTTAGCTAGCTCCCTTATTTTATACGTACAACTTCTTTGAAGATTAGTCGACATTTAGATTTGACTAAAAGTCGATCCTTGACTTCTCCAGTCAATCTATATAGTCGATCTTTTTGTCGACTCCTTGTCCGGGATCTCACTTTTGCTCGTACTTAACGCGTTTGATATATAATTCGAGCATTATTCGAATTATTATAAGGCAAGGAATTAAATAATATTATACCAACTCGTTTACCATTTTGTTTAAATTTATCAAAATTACAGCTTCTTACATACTCACTATAATTTAAAGTGCAACATGACAGATAAGAAAGAGGTTGTACCTTTCTACTATTCATCGAACGGTAATACGGAGGAGGACAAGGTCAGTTTTATAGCCTCTTCTCTTTCATTTTTTCATATCTATTTATTTTTTCAATTTTATTATCAACTTTGCGTTTTATTATTTATATTATTTGATTTCTGTTGTGTAGATACTTTTAGAACCGATCGAATACATTCTACAATCCAATGATATACATCCATACAGAGAAATATCGTCGCTTTTCAACTACTGGTTTAAAGTATCACCCGATAAATTGCAACTGATTGACGAAGTAATGCAAATGGTCTGTAATGCAAGCTTCATGTAAGTTATTTGTTGTTGTGAAACATAACTAACTTATGTATTTTTGTTAAAATTATATGCACGCGATAAGAAATAAGGTACTATCTTTCTAAAGAAAATTATACTTTTTTGTAGAATTTAATAAATTACAAAAATTTTCCTCTTTTTGTAGTTACATCTAATATATCGTTCTCTCGCAAGGAAAGTGACAAGAGTTTCTTTAATTCAATACAAAATTTTAGTTCAATATAAAATTATTCAGACAAGTGAAGGGAAGGGGAAGAAGAACATTGTGAATTTTATAAAATTTATTATTTATTGCGCGTTGGCAGAATTATATATAAATTAATTTATTAGAACTAATCGCAAATTGTTTATTTTAAATTTTCTAGTAATGTAGATATTAATTTTGTTATATATTACTCTTGATTATTTTTAAAACTTTTCCTTGTATTATTTTTCATTAGGAAGTATTTAACATATATCACTTTTCCTGAAAGCCGTTGCATTTAGAATATGATCCCTTCATAATACAAAATCTTTTAAATTTATGTCATTCTTCTTGCTGGGATATAACATATTGTAACAATTTATATAAAAATTTATATAAAAAATTAAAAAAATTTTTTGAATAAATCTTGATCTTCCACTTTAATTATTGTTTCGCTGTTACAAATGGCTGTTATACTTCTGGTTTCATCTGTTTTTATTATATTTATTTTTAATATAAATAAAATAAAGAAAGATAATGTAGCCTTTCTATTGACTGAAAAGATTAATTTGAGTATATTTTTATAGATTTATAAAGTTTTGTTTCTTGATAGATTCGATGATATTCAAGATGAGGCCATTATGCGAAATGGTTTTCCCGTAACCCATTCTGTTTATGGACTTCACTATTCAATAAACGCTGCAAATTATTTACAATTTATTGCTTGTGAAAAACTTATTAATTTACATCCCATGGTAATAAGTAGTTGCATTATGTCTATGTATAATTTTGAAAAATTGAATGTATTTTACTTTCTTCATATTATATGTTATAATAGAAATCAAAATGTGCAATGTATAGTTTTAGCAAAATTCTTCTTTGGATTTCCTGCATAAAAAAGATGCAAATTCATTGAGTTGATTCTTTATGCGTTTCTTATGTGTTAAAGATGATTAAAACTTAATTCTGAACGTCCAGTCTATTTTAATATTGTTAACTTTTTTCGAATAAATCATAAAATAAATTATTAACATATAAATCTCTTTATAAAGTTGCACTTTTTATCGTGCCGACAGATAACGCTTCTTTGTAATTTTGATTATATATTTTTATTATATATTTTTTATTTTATATTTTATATTTTTTATTTTAATTATATATTTTTATATCTTAACAGGCAGTTAAAATTTTGATTGAACAATTCATGGAATACTACAAAGGTCAAGGAATGGATTTATATTGGAAGGAAAAATTCATCTGTCCGAAAGAAAAAGACTACAATATTTTAGCATTAAGAAGTAAACATTTTTGTAAGCTTCTGCTATATACAAAGCGTATTACATATACATGTATAATTTGAATATTAATTAATTTTATAGAGAGTGGTTGGTTAATAATAGCGGTAATAAAATTAATGAAACTTTTTTCTACTTATGAAGAAGATATCTCGTCTCTAGCATATACTATGGGATTGTATCGCCAGATACATGATGATTATTGCAATTTACGTTATGACGAGGTAACCAATAATTTAATTAAATTACTTGAACGAAATTTAACAAAATTTATTGTTATTGTAGAATACTAACGAGAATAGTTATTGCGATGATTTAACCGAAGGAAAAATGAGTTTCTTAATTATTCATGCACTTAGAAACAATCCTGATGATAAGAAAATAATAAGTATCCTTTATCATACGTTGTATTTAAAATGAAATAAGTAGATATTAAGGAATATATTTCGTATTAAATAGACAATAAGAAAATTAAATGGTAAATATATTTCTATTTTGAAAATTTTTATAATAAAATTTTTAGATGAAATGTTAAAATTCTTAACAATAATTCAAGATATTTTAAGACAACGATCGAAAAGTATTGAAGTAAAACGTTACTGCGTTAAAATATTAGAGAGTTACGACTCATTTAAGTACGCAAAAGATGTACTTGATGAATTGGAAACAAAAATGAGAACCGAAGTTGATCGTTTAGGTGGCAATCCAATCTTTATAAAGCTTCTGGACGAATTCAAGAATAAGATGTTGAAAACACGTATCTAAAGATTCTTTAATCAAAATGATAAAAAGTTCAGAAATATGTATTTTGTTATTAATTAAACGTCAAATATAGCATTGCATAATTTAACCATATCGTTGTTAAAATAATCTCTTATTAACAGCTATAAATAACAAAATGTAATAAAAATATCTGTATACAAAAGATAATAAAACTTATTCATAAAACTTTACTGAAAAAAATCATTTGTAAAATATTGTAGCAATAAATCATATGCATCAAAAAAAAATATTCTGCCGATAAGCGGGAAATTTCTCTTAGCGTTTTCTTTTAAGCAAAAAATTTTACATGAATCTCTCACCGGCACATGTATTTATGACATGTATTTATCTATAAAAAGGACACATGAACTATGATAACAAATTAATTTCATTTTAGAAAATTCCTTTATAATAATTCAAATAGTTTTTTGAAAGAACATTTTATTCTAAAATGAAAATAGTTACTATATGCATTTATTCAAATGATATTTTTATTGATGTAATGAATGATAACTCGCAACATATTTTTATGAATTTGTTGTAACAAGTGCAATACATTGTTTAGTAAATAAATATATTTATTAGGAATAGCAGATATAATCAGTAATCAAAAAAATTTAATCAGTTGATATTTTTGATAAAATTTTACGTTAATGCATACATACATCGACTCTATAAATATACACAGTTCAAGTAAAATTTAATATATTTTCTTGAATTCTTTAATTCTATTATTTTAATTTAAATTAATCACATATTAATCACATAGGTGGTTAATGATTTTTTTATCGTAAATAATGTAGACTATGTAGACTATATTGTAAAATATTAACATGTTTTAAAATACTAACATGTTTTATACAGTATAAAAGTATTAAAATTAAATTATAAAATAGTCTTTACACCCATAGAGTAGAATTGTCTAGGACTTAGAATACGTCTAGGACTTAGGACTCTATAAAAATATACGGCGATATCTTTAGAATATTCCTGTGATGCATTTTGAATATTTTAATATGCACGCACACATTCCCACTATAAATATAAACTGTATAAATATTATGTAAGTAAAGTTATGTAAGTATTTATTAAATTTATAAATTATGTGAACTCAATTTTTTTACAAAACGTTAATAAATTATCAAAATTCTAAGGCTTAAAGTACAAAAACTTTAATTATTGCTTTTGTTGCTGCAATGTGCACAACGTGCATAATATTTATTGTATCTTTTTATTAAAATAAAACCCAGTTCATAAATTTATTTATTATTCGTGGCATGTTCGAGACAAACGAGTTGTTATATTTAAAAATTCAGCTTATAAATTTTAAGATATTAACACAAACGTTGAGCTTTAAAATTTCACTTCTACAAATGTTACATGAAGAACTTATGACTTCAATACACATTTCAAATTTATTCAGTACATCGCACGATAAAAGCATCTTTTGATCACAGCTAATCAATGTTTTTCCGTAAAAGGTTCCCGGGAAAAAATGTTTCATATGTATAATATTATATATATAATTGTATATAATTAATAATTAGTAACTCCGGTATATACGCCGCACCTATCAAACACTTAATTTATTAAATATTATTTACTATGTTTATAGTAAATGAACTGTATCAGTTTTACAACATACACTACAATCTTTGTACTATCTACTACTATGAAAAAAATTACAAATCCAAAAATATTTATTTTTCATATTAAAAAATAAACTTTTTGAAATTCTTGCATTTTTGCCCTTATATCCTATAAGGGTGGGATATATAGCTACTCGTAATGGGAAGAGACGTATGTACGTCTCATGAAAAATTTACACATAATGCATATGAATAAGACGAATAATAATATAATAACTTATAAAATGTGTTTATAAAGTTTAATTAAGGAATAAGAATAAATATGTATACGATGTAATAAATAATTACAATCTTCCTACATATATATTATGACATGAGGTACATATTTCATATGCGTTTATTGCATTTAGTGTACAGAATTTAATCTGTGCACTTTGTATGCTTTGGGCATAAATCCCGCTCGCTAAAAATGCCGTATATCCCAAACAGGGGCATATAAGATAACAAACTAAACAAAGAATACGAAAGCAAAATCCATATATTTTGCTACACAACATTTTTATATATTTACTATTCCACTACACGTATGTATCACGAAATAATCACTAAATCTTTTACACGTCCTACAGTTATCATTTTATGTAGATTATAATTTATGATTACTTATTACAGTGACAAATCGATTCAACTCACAATAATTTCATTAATACTACAAAAAGAAGCTGAAATCATAATACAATATTAATATAACATAAAGACATGTAACAAAATAGTTGTGGGAAAATTACCGCCACTCTCTATTTTTTCTGACTTCTATGGCGTAAATCCCAGCGGAGCGTATTTGTCGGAGTTACCCTACACAAAATTAATTAAAATTATATATAATTATATATAATTATATGCAAAATTGACATATATATTTGATATACAATTATACATAGTTATATATAAAATATGTCCACATATAACATATTTTCCCGGGTTATTACAAAAAAAAGAAATATTTTGATAAACGCGAATTTCTGCTGCTTGATGTGACCTGTGCGCCATATTGGGTAATTGTATATATAAGTCTATATATAAGTCTACATGACAGCTTTCAAACAACACAAAATTTAAAATTGTGATATAAGACGTTTTTAAGTCATCTCTTAGACGCTGAAAACGTATGACTCGATTTTAGATACTTTTTGTTATCTGAGCTTATACAATAGTTTTCATTGTCTACACGTAAACGAAGAATATTATAATTTATGTGTAAATGCATAATCCTGATATTCAAGATTTTCTTTATTCTTGATGAATTTTTTATTTGCTCGCGCGTGCATATTTCGTATGCATAAATACATGTATGAGTAAATAAAGAAAATTTTTATTCATTAAAAAAAGACAAATATCGTTTATCTTCCAATCAAATTTAGTCATTAAATTTAATTTTTTACGTGTTATTTACGTCGTAACGACAAGATAGTCAACATAAGACCATAGATTGAAGTAGGGAACACATGCATCCTTGTGAAGCACATGATGCATAAGAAAATGAATCAAAATTTCTTATTTCCTTTCTTTCCGTACAATAGAGGACTTTGATTAGCTTTTTATCGCCTTTCGATTTATTTACGCCTTATGTCTTATGCATTATATAAAAGCTTCGCTTTAGCGTATATTACTATTGCTACTAGTACATCAGAGAAGAAACTTGTAAGAGCTGCCGAAATTTTCGAACATTTTCCTTGCTATACGACGTTTCACTTCTAATTTTAGAGATCTTTAACAGTAACTTCTAAAACATTTTCTTATTAAAATTATATATAAGATTAGTATCTAGATGAAAAAAAGTTGAATTCCACACAATAATTTCGAGCTTCTTACAGTACGATTCTTTCGATACAAATAAATACGTAAATATCTTTTCTCATAAGAACAATTAATTGTAATGTTAAATGTTTTTTTTTCGAATTCATGAAACTTTACTGAAAAAAATCATTTGTAAAACGCTATAGCAATAAATCATATGCATCCAAAAAAAATATTCTGCCGATAAACGGGAAATTCCTCTTAGCATTTTCTTTTAAGTAAAAAATTTTACATGAATCTCACGCAAGCGCGGGTATTTATGACATATATGTATTTATCTATAATGTATTTATCTATAAAAATGAGCACACATGAACTATGACAAATTCCATTTTAGAAAATTCCTTTATAATAATTCAAATAGTCTTTTGAAAGAATAGGATACTAGAATGAAAATAATTACTATATGCATTTATTAAAGTGATATTTTTATTGATGTGACGATTGATAACTTGCAACATGTTTTTATTAATATGTCGTAGCAAGTACAATACATTGTTTAGTAAACAAATATATTTATTAGGAATAGCAGATATTTTTAATTAGTTGATATTTTTACTAAAATATTATGTTAATTCATACATACATCGACTCTATATACATACTTACTAAATTTTACTTCTGGACATTATATAATATCTACACATTACAACATTATGATAATATTCATATATTTACAAATTACCATTTTAGTTTTTAAATGAACAATCGGTTTTTTCCTAAAAAATAATTTTTTATTCATATGTACATTAGTAAAAAAATTTTGCACAATAATGTTCTTTGTTCTTATTTTTCATCATTAAGTTATTATCATTCAAATCTGATTTATTCTACTGCCATTATATGTTGCAAATTTCTTTTTATTAAACTTAACATTATATAAATTAGATAGATTGATCGCAATGCTACCGAAGTATTATAAAAAAACGTATTCCGCAATGGAATATTTTAAATTTCAGATTGTTTATATATTTTTCTCATTATATAAGATTATAATATTATATATGTAATATTATATCTTAATATTTTTAAATGAAAATACATATAATATTACATCTTTTCTATTATATAATTAATCTTTCTATGGTTTTATTATTGAAATAAGCAATTTGAAAAATTGATTGACGTTAAAATCATATTTAGAGTTTCTATGTGTTAAAATATATCATAACAAAATAATTAGCTAAATCTGGTTTAAACCTAGAATATTCATTTTTTGTTAAGATAAAATTTATAAATTATCTATAATTAATTTTCAGTTACTCTTTAACTCTTTTTTCAATGCATAATTTTTCATCTTTTCATTACATGTTACGAAATTTCTATTATTAAAAATATAAAAAAAAAGCAATGAAATATAGAAGTCAGTGTTCATAATTGGTTCTTATTTTAAGACTATTTTAAATTTTTTAAGATGCTAATATAGTTCAATGATACTGGTTTATGACATTTCAAGATTAATTTTTAAAACAATTTCATACATATAAGAATTCTTTATTTAAAAATTAACAATAAATACCGATCTGTTCTGTTATTAGAAGAATGTAGGATCTTTAA